ATTTAAAACCAGGAGATTGCACATAAAAATCAAGATTTCTGGCTTCTCTTAAAATTTTGGAAGATTTGGCACCCCTGAATCCACACTCCCTTGGGGCGATAGCTAGCTGGCTCCAAGACATGGCTGCCTCCTTTCCATGGAACCTGCAATCTCAGGTTTGCTACAGTCTCCACCTCTCAGTTTGCATTGTTCTTTTCTTAACTTCATCTCTCTTTGGACATTTACATTACCAACCTGGCCTTTAAAGCCATTTTTTGAGGTTCCTGCATAAAGGTGAAAACAAAAGTATCTTTAGCAAAGTAAAAAGAGCAATTTTCCTTCCCACTAAGATGTAAACAGAGTGTACTTTTCTGAAAGTGAGATTTGATGTGTGGAAGAGAAATATTTAGGGACTTGGACTCTGAGGGGCAAATAAAAAGTGTGCCCCGTTTTGGGAAGCTTTTCCTAGCATTTATCTCGTGTGATCCTCACAAGAACCTCTAGAGGTAAGAGTTCGTATTCAGCTGGGGTGCCAGGTATAGTAGAGAAGTATCCAGGATACTCAGTTACAAATGGTTTGTTGTTTACCTGATCAAGTATAACTGGCTCCCTGTATTTTATTTGCAACTCTCTACTCATTGCCATTTTGAAAATGAAGAAAGAGTATCTCTATTGGTCAGTCTACAAACACACAGCCACGTAAAAAAATAAAGCTGTGTGGTTGGGCTGAGTTCATACCAGGGATGTATCTCATAGTGGTGAGAAGAAAAGCCAAAGGTCTCTTGAAGCAGGGTTCTGTGAAAAAGTGTGAAAACCAACTGGGAAGGTGAAACTGTGGTACTATGGCAACTTCCAGAACTTTCTGGATGCCCATTCTAAGTACTCAGACCAGCCCATTCCCTGGGGATTTGAATGGCCCTCACCTACTCTTACTGATCAGGCTGATAGGGACACTTTCTCCAGAGAGGACTGCTAACTAACCCCTGTCCTCTGAACTTGGCCCCAACTTCTCCTTCTAGCTAGGGCCCAAGGACCTAGAAACAGGAGACTTTGATTAGGGGTCCAGAAAATTAGGAGGATGGGGAAGAAAATTCCACCACAACAATTTCCGTAGATTTCACAAAGTCCCAAAGGATCAAGCTGTCTTGAAAGGATTTCCATCTTTTGAAAGGATAGAGTAAACCAAATATCAGCTGCATAATTCTCATGTCAATTTTCTGAGCTTTTAGAAAAGAAAGCAATCTCTACCAAATATGAATGTTCTTACATTCTTACTTAAATTTGCCTGGGGCTATATGTAACCTTCAGTTAGCTATTGTCTTGGTTCACATTCTTCCAGAAGCCAACAATAAGACAGAGATATGAGCACAAGTTTTTTATTTGGGAATGATCTCAGAGTGAGTGGAAGGAGCAGAAAAGTGAGAGAGGGATGGGAAGGCAGTCAGTGAAGGGTGTGCCCATGGGAAGGTAACAGGGACTCAATTCCATTGGGAAACACAGGGCAACGGTGTTAAAAAATGCTTCAGTTACTCTAATCAAAGAGAGTATTTATCCACCAACACCTGTATCATTGGCTGAGGGGTCCCCTCTCACTCACACATACCCAACCCACTGTTGGGTATGTGTGAGTGAGCTTCTGTCAGCTTCTGTTGCTAGAGAAAATGTCAGGCAAAAAGTTGTGGGATCTGATAGAAATGTTGAGTAACACCGGAATATATCCTGAGCACCAATAGCATCTGCTCCAGGCACACCTCCCTTCCTTCCACATAACTTATCCATCCTACAACCGAAACATACCAACCAAGGAATGCTCCTGGGTATGGGCTGGTCACCATCGACTTTCAGGATTAATCTAAGTATTAAATAGACCATCCATCCATAGGTGGTACTTGGAACATAGAAGTAAACCTTAAGAATGTTGAAATCCTTGAGGAAGGTTTCTACTGTGAATCAAGAATATAAATTTTGATGTCACTGCCCTCACAGGGACCTGACCCTAGATCTTAGATTCTAGAAGGTCGTGGTGCAAGCTCTCATTGCCAGTTCCTCTGTGTCCTCAGTGTCACCACCCTCTCTCCATTCTGCCTGTTCCACCTTATCCAAATGTCTATCAAGCATGTCACTTTCCTGGGGGGGGGGGCCTGTTTTGCATGTCCCTAAAGTGATAATTACTTTTAGGGGATTGTAATGGACAGATGAATGGGCTTCCCCTTATGACATTTTCTGAGATTTTCTAGAAAATAAAAGCAGTACAAGGTGGTTAGGAGCCAAGACTTAAAGCCAGACTGCCAGGGTCTGAATCTCATCTCTATCATTTATGAGTTGCGTGACGCTGGGCAAGTTATCCACCTCTGTGTGCTTCAGCCTCTCATGTGTGAAATGGACTTAAGAATAGAACCTACTTCTTTGGGCAGCTCTCAGGATTCAATGCTTTAACACTTGTAATATGCTTAGAATAGTCCCAAAATACTATTCTAAGCATTTGGTAAATGAATCTAAAGCAAAAAGACTTCACTAGGTATTTAATAAAACCTCGTGGTTAGTGCTGACGGGAAATATCTTGGATCAAATAGTCCTGCCTGGGCTATCAAACTACAGTTTCTAAGCAAACTTTCTTCTCCTCTTTCTTTCCACCCCACCTCCACCAAAAATAAGGAGCACCGATCTTGGAACCTTCAGAAGTGAGGTAGAGAGTAAGTCCTGTCATTTACTAATTACAAAAACCTGCTTGCTCTGGAACTCTAGCCCTTTTCCCACAAAACAGGGACAGAGACACCTGTCAAATATCAAATAAAGCAATATATATAACAATAACTTGCAGGCTCCAGGGTGTTTCACCAAGTGAGCTCTGCTTACTGCCTTCTTTTACTTCCTCCCCTTCATTTCCATTCTCTTCTGGGCCCCTTCTCCATTTTTCTCTCCTCTTTTAAATTTAGTTTTAATTGTTCCCTTCTTACAAAATAATTGAAATGGAATTTTATAAGTATGGACCAAAGACAAGAAGAATATAAAGTTAGAAGTACTTCCATCACTCATACATAAACACTTATAAAATGTAGTCTGCATTCTTTGTCCTTAAAAATAATTGTATGTTAGGACCCTACTATCGTTTGTAACTGCTTTTTAAAATATAATATATTGTAACATCTTTCCATACCATTATACTCTTTCTATGATATGATTTTTTAAAATTTTATCCCATATTTCATGCACCCTATTTTTGGCAAGCAATCTTCAATTATGGGACATTTGGGTGTTTTTTTCCCCAATCTTTCTCCTATTAAAAATAACAAAGGCATGAAAACTCTTGCAGAAAGGTCGTTCCTCAAAATCATAGTTACTTCCTTGGAATTCCTAGAAGAGAATTTACAGCATCACATGGAATCCACATTTTTAAAGCTTTAATACGCAGTGCCAAATCATTTTCTAGAAAGATTATTCTACTTTACACTCTTTCTACCAGTATTTGAAAATGAACATTTCCTTCTAACCTCATGACACTGTATAATCTTAAAATAACAATTGATATTTAGAAAATAAAATATATAGTTATAATTCACATTTATTTAATAATTAGTGAAACTGAACACTTTTCATATGTTTCTTGGTCATTTAGGTTTCTATTTGTGAATTTCCTATTTATATCTTTTTGCGCTTACATCTTTTTATCTACTTTGTGCTGTATGTTATTTAATTATTCAAATATAAGAGTTCTTCACACAGAAAGGACATTTGTAGTCTCATACTTTTTCAATTTTCTTAGGTTACCATTTGCTTTCATTTTTTTAATAGAAATTTGACAGCAGGGATGTTTCATATTTTTATGTGGATGTGTTTGCCTTGTCTTAGTGGATATTGTCTACAGCATGCTTGGGAAGTACTGTCTTATCCCAACTTTAAATAGACAGATACCCATTTAGTATTTCCTTTTTTTTCTTATCCCTACCCATATTTCAGGATTACCATAGACAAATGGCTGGGCCCCAAGGCTACTTATGTGTGTGTGGTCCTGGAGCTAAGGAAGCCCAGGCTCTGACCTGTCTGTCCAGCACCACCTTACTGCGTCATGCTGATGTCCCTGGCAGAATTCTGTGGAAGACATTTCAGGGAGGGAAGTGAATGCATTACAAGATCCTTAATTCTTAGAACTACAATGCTTTACAATAGCATTTAGTTCCTTTCTTTGAGCCTGAATTCCCTGCCCCGCTAAGAATCAAAAACAGTCAGATAGAATTCAGAATCAAATTTTATATGAGTTTCTGAAGCATAATGTTGGGAGATTTATCATTGCACATGCCCTTCCAACTGTTCACAGTTGCTAGGGGATTGGAAAGTCAATAAATTAGCCGTAATAAGGAATGTCTTTACATCATATTTGAATTTCTCATCACTCTCTCCTAAGGCAGTTAGAAATGCTCTATTGGGAATATAACCCATTTGTCAAAACTAATCATGGTCCAAAACCATGGCAGAAAACACAACCAACCAGGTCACTGCATTTGCTCTTTCTCTGTGAGAATCACATGGATTTTGGGAAGCAGGAAAGGCTTTGAAATACGGTAGCCACAAGGTTGAACCCCATCTCTTCTACTACTTAGCTGTATGGCCTTGGGTGAGGTAACTTCTCTGACTTCCATTTACTGAGATGTTGATATTAATACTCATGATATAACTAAAAGCTATTGAGAAAGTACTCTGTGCCAGGCACCGTTTTAAGCACTTTATATGTGTGACCGTTTAATCTTCACAGTAACCCAAGAAGGTAGGTACGAATTTTATCCCCATTTTACAGCTAATGAAACTGTAGCACAAAGAGCATCTTGCCCAGAGTCAAGCAGCTAGAAAATAAAGAAGCAGGGTGTGCAAGAACAGGCATTTTGATGGCAGAGTCAATGAGCTTAACTTTTGTGAGTGCAAAAACACCCAGAGAAGGGTTGGCTTGTTGGCTTCATGCATACAGAGAAAGGAGTCACTAAATGTTAGCTGTCTTCTGTCCCTTTGGGTGAGAACCTTGTTCCTACCTCGCACGGTTGCAAGCTCCCCATCGACATGAGCCATACACTGCATGGCGGTAGCCCCAACGCATATGGGCATGCTGACTGTCTGCCCCAAAACAGAAGTCGACAAGTCTACTTCAGCAACATTCCGGAGCATCCGTGGATACAGCTTCCATCTAGAATTGTTTTTAAAGAAAGGTTTCAGAATTTCAAAAGTATAACCAAAGCTTTGACATTATGCTTTAGCAAAAAAGAGAGACAATATTCTTGAATTTTCCCCATCAAGCAAATTACTTTACAAGCCTAAAGGAAAGGGGACAATTTTAATGTTGGTTAAGATGGAAAGTTAGCAATAAGATAATAATGAATTTATCAAGCCATTGTTCTTAGTAAGGTATAATTAACATATAGTAGAATTCACCCATTCGAGTGTACAGTTTTGTGAGCTTTGACAAATGCACAGTCATGTAACTGCCAAGACAATCAAGATCTAGAATAGTTCAACCATCCTGAAAAACTTCTTCATTGCTTTTGTAGTAAATCCCTCCCCAATCAATTCCCTAACAACCACTGACATATTTGTTTTGTCCCTATAACTTTACTTCACAAGAATATCGTATAAATGGAATCATATCGTATGTAGCCTTTTGAGTCTGGCTTCTTTAACTGGTGGTAATCATTTGAGATTCCTCCATGTTGCTGCATGTATCAATAGTTTGTCCCTTGTGTTTGATGAATAGTATTCGATTGTATGGAGGTACCACAGTTTGTTTATCCATTTCTCAGCTAAGAGACATTTGAAATGGTTCCAGTTTGGAGCAATTATAAATAAAACCACTATAAACATTCACTTAAACGTTTTTGTGTGAACATAGCTTTCATTTCACTTCTCCAAGCCATTTTGAAGATGCTATACAAAGGCAGAGAAGTTAGATTATAGTTTTAAACGATATGCTATGTCTACTTTATCTTTTTATTAATAACAGACAGTAGCTTCAGGCAATTACTTTTAAAATGATAATGTAGTTTCTTCAAAACCCTTAATGTGAATTCTGTATCCATTGAAAAATGATGAGGGAAGATAATGTTTTTGTTGTTTAATTGATCATTTTCCTCAAAAATGTTGTTGGGCAGAGACTGGAGTTTTCGGCTTAAAAAATTTTTGACTCTTGAATATTATTTTAGAAGACTTTTTCTCCAATTCTTCTGTGTAGCAATGAAAATTACCAATAAACCAAGAACCAAAACTTCACTAGTAAAATTTACAGGAGGATTAGTTCTCTTTCCTCTCAGCAAAATTTATATCATCCTATTTGTTCAGGATTATTTTTCTCCTCATTAGTAACTGATTAAAACTGAAGAAATTGAGTCCTATTTTTAGCGAGCACTAAGGCAATCGCGTGTGTGGAGACACACTTATGTACCTAACCAGCATTCAACTTTCATTACCTAGATTTAACTCTGCTTCCAGAAAGATCAAGATTTTTAGTTAATACAGTAAAGTGTGATTTAGTGATGGAGTAACCAAAATAAATCAACTCTCCAAAGTCTTAATTGAAGCCTACTTCCTGTAGCGGAAGAAGAAATTCTGCCTTCATGTTGCTTTGTGGAATAACTAAGGGTCTGTAATCTAACCCTTCCACATATAATAAAGTAAAAATGTCCAGCCCCTGAAAAGCATAATAAAGAAGTTTTACTGTACGATTCCTCTGCAATTCCTTTGAACATCGTAATTGTCATTATTTTCTGACACACCACATGCTCTGCTGCTGGAAGTCTTTTCTTCTCGACTGACCCTCACAGCATGATTCTTTGATCTCTGTTTTGAAAGGGAAGAGGCAGAAGCCTTGAAGAGAGTTTTTATTACCAATCATCTCTAAGTGTGCTATTAGAATGAGAGAAAAAGATTTTAATGGCAGCCGTTGGCGTGCTGGCCTTGAAAGGCATTAATATTTACTTAGAGCTGGAGAAACAATGGAAACTTTTATGAAGAGCACACACAGAGCTGCGGGGCATCAGCTCTGCGTGTGCCTGTGTGTGCCTGTGTGTGCATGTGTGTGTCTATGAGGCAGAAGGGACATTTTTAATGTCCAATTCCCATTTATAGAGCAAGGCTCAATCTATCTCCAGGCAGTAGCTTTACGCTTGTCCACATGGTGGCGCAGTCACTTTAATAACGGTGTATTCCGGCTTCCCCGTACACATTAGCTTCTGTTCTGGGCAGGACAGCACAGAGACTCATCAACCAATGCACAAAACACTTCTATTCGCACAAAAGCAATTTCTACGCAAAAATTAGATGAGATTAATGGAGTGGGAAATGTATGTTCTCTAAAAAGTCCTCCACATTTTGATATTTCCCGAAAAGCAATTACAACTCACCTTGTCGGATACTTCCAATAGCTTTCCAAGCCCCACCAGACCCTACCCCCAATTAGAGTAATTTTTCCACAATCTTACATAAAATAGTAGCTGACTATAACCTTGGACTGTGCTCTTATGGGACCTCCACTTTGGAAAAAGGATATCAAGATTGACAAAACAATTGAACCGATTGAATAATAAACCTTTTTCAAAGGGTGGAAAATGAAGACATCCGAGTAAAGGAAGTGGGGTAAAGGTGGGGATCCTTTAACAGGGCTTTTGATCCACACTTCACATCCAACAAGGGCCTCAAATTTAATTCATCAAAAAAAAAATCAGGTGATATACACACTCCCCAAGAGGGGACCCCTCTGTTGAAGAAAGACACTCACACATCATTCAGCTTAAAAGCCGTGTGCTGTTACTGAATCTCACCAACTGGACACAGTGAATTAATGTTTTATAAGTCCTGCAGTATGATCATATTGCATTCCAATTTCCCCACATTAATTTGTTTACTCAAAGTATTTAAAATATATGTATATATAGATGTAATAGGTATATATGTATACGAAATATACCATAATTTTTGTAATCTTTCTTTACCACCATTCATTTATAATACTATGAGATCTTTCGAACATTTAACTGGATCACTATTAGCCTCTGAGGCACCCTCATAAAGGAAGAAGGAGGGCAAGAATTTAAGTCAGAAGAAAATATAGCATGGTAAGCATATTGAAATTAGTCAAACCATTTTTTGAAGGCTTTGGTGTGTAGATAGGTTTCAAGAAGGCCCATGAACCTCCTGAAATTGTGTGTGGTTGTGTGTGTGTGCAGGTGTGTGTGGAGGTTTGTCAACAGTTTGGATAAAGAAGCCACAGCTTTGAGGTTCAAGATGGAGCGAGGAGGAAGATGGAGGAAGAGGAAGAGGAGGAGAAGAGAAGAGAGCTGGGCTATGAAATCTCTTTCCACGTGAATCTTCAGAAATGAGAGACAATTACAGTGGCTGCTTTTCCTAATGCAAGAGCAAAAAGCAGCTTACCTCCTGTCGTGCAAACTAGCTGAATGATTCCGTGCCATTTACACCTATGAGAAGAGGACTGAAAATGTCACTGGTGAGTTTATATTGCTTCTCAAATATTAAAGTGAGAGAGTGATATCACTTTTATCATGTTATCTAAAAGAAACCACACAAGCTTCCGTGTCAATAGGTGAAGCCTTTCAACAGGAATGAGAAGAGCTTCATTTTCTAATATCATCAGGACTTTTAAACGCCCAAATCGTAGAATTATTTTCCACCCATGATAATTTCCCTAGAAGCCACAAATTCAGGAAAACCATGATTGAGATGGATACATTGAATTCGTGTGTAAGGAAACCAAACAGTACTCTTTTTCAAGTGAACTCCAATCAGGTCAGGCCATGCAAAATGTAGCAAGCTGACGTTGGCTCTGTTCTTGTCATATTTACAAAAGGAAATTATGTTCTTCATTGTGGCTCCATCTGTTTTACCTTATTTGTCCTTTTGTGTTTCATTTTATTTTATTTTTTGGCCACAATCATATTAGAGTCTACCCAGAAATATCTCCAAGCAGCTGCTGTGTCACCTGAGTGAGCCGTGTGCCCAGAACTCCAAAATGTGGTTGTCAGAGCTGAGTGCACAGAGATAAAACCTGTCACTGTGAATGACCTTTGGTGGTACTTGTGGGAGGCGGAGGTGTATAAATTTCCTAAATGTCTGAAATACCCTGACATTGTGTCACAACAGGTTATGTGAGGTTTGGTTGTTTTGCAGTCTTCATTTGAATCAGAGTGAGAGATTTCATCCCATCAATGCAAACCACCGCAACCAGGGCAGAAAATCTATTCTTAGTTCCAAGTGATCACCTCGATGATACAGGGTGAGGAACAAAGGGTCACCCAGAAAGTTTCACAGGAAAAGAAGAATTGAGATGGTAGATAGGCAACAGCCCCTAATGTTTGTTGCAATAAAAACTCAAGTGGTTGATAAATGGCATCAGCCATCCTCCAGAGAAGGTTGATTAATCCATGTTTTTCTCCCCCTTTAAAGCAGAACAAAAGAGAAAGATCACGGGTCATGGAAAAGGTGGCATTGTCAACGCATTCTCCTTGTCTGTGTCCTATCCCTAAGTTACGCAGTACATGCATAGGCTGCAATTACTCACTGGAATACCATGTAATTCACATAAGCCATGAGGCACTTTTCCTGTTCACAGCTTGGAGTCAGCACTGTCTTCTATGGCTCACAAAGTTTCTAGAATTTCTAGGGTCGCTGAAGTGATCCATCTGTTTTGCTGCACCCCTTTGCTCCCTCTTTGAGGCCTCCACTGGGCCAATTATTTTGGGCACATTTTGCATCAGTTGATCCCACCAGCATTTTGGAGGACAAAAGCCAATATGCATTGATTGGAATATAAGCTCCTGTGGATGGGAACTTTCTCATCACTCTATCTTCAGCATGTAGTACAGAGTCTAGCCCATAGAAATGCCAAGTAAGTGTAAGTTAATTAACTAACTAGCGTGGGGTAAAGGGGGTTAAAGGGTGAGTGCGGAAGGCTGTATATAAATGGATTGGGTGGTCACCTGAGCATTGTGACTTAAGGAAGGCAAAGAGACACCAACTCTATAAGCCTGTCAAGGGCCTGAAATTTCCTTGGTTAAAATGATCTATTTGGGTTAAAGTGTTATTTTCAGGAGATTACTAATAGACAAACTCTATTACCTGGTGAACAGAGTTGATATGCGCCCAAAAAGGGGCATCTTCCAAGAGCAGAAAACTTTGAAGGGGCCCAAAATGTTAAATAATGATTGGAAAAGATCATACAGAATTTTAAGCCCCTCCACTCTTAGCCAACTTTTCCTTTCCTGTGGCTCTTCCAGCATTTTTTGATCTCATTTGGGTTCCAGGCAAGATTGAGGCAAAGGCAAGGCTTGAAGAAGTTTGGAGGCGGCCCCACCCTTCACCTCATTCTCAGGCTCCTGCGGGCGAGTCGGTGCTGCTTGCCAGGGAGCACCTTGGCTAAAATGATTTCATTTCCCCTAATTTACACACAGAAAAGTGATTTTGAGAGATTTTGCTCCAGACTAAAGAAGACATCAAGAAGGAGAGCAGGTTCTTTCCCCTGAAAATTTTCTGCCTTTTTTCTCTAATTTATCACTATTAGTGAGCATCTACACCATTCATTGGCTTTACTAAGGGCTGTAATGTAAGATGGATACACTTAAAACAGCATAGTATATTGAAGACTCTCCTCCCCTCCTCCAGCGAATAAACTATTTTTGTAACTGCTGAGAAAATAACACTCCTTTAAAGTTATTGTTTCTTGTTTTTATTACAAACAGAAAACATAAACCATGACACCCACCATCTCGTGCTTTGAAATATGAAAGTCAAGGGAAAACTGATTTGACAGAAAAAAGAAGGACTTTGGAGGAGAGATGAAACAGCAAAATTGAAAGATTAATGTTATGTAGACAAATTGAAATCTAAAGTGAACCTTTAGACTACAGTAATCAAAATGAATGGTAACAGAAAACCAGCAGGATGGGAATCCTGGAGGCAACAATCCAATGTGGTCAACCAGATAAGACGGCTGTCTTGCATTTAATGCTGTTTCCTACCCCATGAACGTACACCCTCACTGTCATACTCAGAGAAAAAGAAAATGGAGTCATCAGAATTTATCACTATTTTTATAGGTAGTTAAATTAATTATCCACATAATTCCGAGTGAGGAAAATTAGGGTTGGCTTTTCCAGTCAATTGTTCACGATCCTCAGGCTTGGAATATTTTTAAACAATTTAAAAGCCCAAGATTTCTCACAGCGCCAAAAATTCTCCCCTCTCTATTAAGCTCGTATCTAGACAAATAATTCCACATCATCAATATTAAAACTAGGAGATCTTATTTTGGTAGAATGTCTTTGTGTAAGTTTAAAACATGATTTAAAAATTGTTTTTCTTACCTGGAAAATGCTGCCACATTATCAGCCAAAGTTTCCTCATCATTCGCTCCAGACCTATAATAGTCATATATCGACTTTCGCAGTACTGATTTAGCATGTTGTTCATAATCGTTGATACAAACAAGCCGGGTGAACATTTTCACAGGTTAGTGCAACTCCAGGTTTTGGGGGGTATTTTTTCCTGCATTGTTTTCTACATCCTGACAATTCTGTTACTTGTCAATTATTAATAGACCTTTTCCAAAGTTCAGATTTAGTTCTCTGTTGCTTACATTAATTAAGCAAACATAGACTTAGACTTTGAAATTTCGTTTGTGGCTGTCTGCCAAAGAACAGCTGCACCTAAGCCGCAAGCCCTCCTTACAAGGCGACAGGAGGGGTTAGTTGTCTGTCACATTAAAAAGGCAGAGGAATGAGTCAAAAATTAAGGTCTTAGAGGAGGAACTGCATGAAAGTGCTTTGACTCAGTTCTGTTCAAGGCTGCTTCTTCCACACAGTATGGACTTTGCTCTTCGCTTGGTACCCAGGACGGGCTCCACCCTCATTTTTCATCCACATTTGGATCATACACATATCACATGAAAAAGAGCTTATGCAATGAGTGGGGCATCCAGTAAACACGGGGGGTCTACACAATATGAACGTCAGCCAATCGTAAACATTTGGCTTTAATAAGGAGCATTAAGGCCAAATTGACAGCTAATTCTTAAAGAGTCTTGTCTAGCTCTAGAGAGGATGTAGGGAGGTGGCGTTCCAAAAGACCTTGTGGACTCAGTCTAAAATTTCTCTCAGTCATGAGGAACCTGAGAAAGATCTGTACCAGTAACACATGATTCAGAAAGCAAGGCTTTGATATCAGCCAGACCTGGGTTTCAGGCTAGAAGCCTCCACTTAAAGCCACTCATCAGCCGTTCAGCAGCTAAATTCCAACTGCCTACATCTGTATGAGAATTTTCCCTTGAACTTGGAGCCTGCTTTTCCATCCACATGGCATACTAAAGTGCTATGAAATCAATGTCTCCAGGAACAGCCCTCAACCAAAGATTTAAGGGAGTTGGTGCATAAATACCCCAAATCCCTCACTCCTCTGGTGGCTAAACCCTGGGTGTGTGTTCCATACTGCAGGCTTCAGTTGCCCACACTGTTAGCTGGCTGATAACCCACCCTGTGTTGGCTGCCTTCCCTTCCAATCTCACTTCCCTACCCCTTAATTTAATCAAAAAGTTTTATGCTATTAGGATTGGTATTGAATTATACATAGGTTTATTCCTAAAGTTCACAAAATGCTTACTTTTTGCATCAAGGTGGTGATAGGTAAAATGACATTAAACTTACAACTGGAATATGAAAATCTGTTAATATGATAAGGGAGTCCTAAAAGAAATAACTCAATTTCACAGTTAACAAAATCACTTTGAAAGTTGATCTAAGGAATCTTAAACACTGCTGAAAACTCATTCAAAATTTGCAGGTGAAAGCATGGACTTTTATTTACATATTCCTTCGTTCCCAACTTTAATAATTATTAAAACTGTTAGCATCTTGCAACCAATGTAATTTTGATACAGAGGCAATTTAATATCCTACAATGAACCTGAAGTACGCCAAGTTCTGGTGAAATTAAGGAAGACAAGCACCAGTGCTCAAGCATCAAACTGGGGCCCTGGACCAACGGCATCCGCCTCATCGGCGAACTTGTTAAAAATGCAAATTCTCAGGCCCACCCCCAGTCCTGCTGAATCAGAATCTCTACAATCTTTTGTGCTGTAACAAGGCTTCCAGGTGATTCTGATGCACAATATTGTTTGCGATCACTACTTTGTCAAGACGCAGAGTAAGGAGAATTTTTTTTAAGAGGCTTGAATTAAAACAAAAAAATTCCACTGTCATTCTGTACTATTGCAGCCCAACAGCTGATTTGGAGTATCGTCTTAGTGGATAAACTGAAATATAGTCCCCATACTGCTTAATTAACCTCTTGGAGGAGAGAATTAAAGGAAGCAGTTGGAGTTTTGAACAGCTTTTGTTAATTTGTGATAATTACATTGTTTAAATAACACACATTGTTTCAGAGACAATAAAGTCTGTAAAACTCCTCTCTAGGCCTCAGTGGAGTGAAATGCTGAGGGCCTAACATGACAAAACAAGGTCAGGCCTTGTTCAAGCTGCTGAAGGCTGCGCTTGCCCCAGCCCCCTCCCCAGTTTGGGGTTCAGGACAGTCAATGCCAGTGCGATGGCATCTGCTGGATTTGAGCACTCCCCTTCACAGTGGCCAAATGAACGGGGATTTGTTTTTTTACATTGGACTTAATAAAATTTTAATTCACTTCTGACCCTCCCTAATATCCCAATAAAAATTTCAGCAGGATAATGCCTCACCATCTCCAGCACCGCTGGATATTTTGCGAACCACAGGGAGCTCTTCTCCTGTCTTCATCTCAGGGGAAACTCAAGCATGAACTAGAAGGAAGCGACTAGAACTCCACATCCTCGCTGGATCTTCCTTTCATTTGTCTTAAGATGTGATTTAGACTGTTGCTAGGAGAATGTCCTATTTCCTGTTTCTATCCTTTTCAGAGGCTTTTATTCTCAGTGATGTGTAGCCTTGGTGGAATCTTGGTCATTTTCGCCATCTAGTTGCTAAAAAGGGGCTGTGTTTACAACATCATAAACGCCGATGCCTAGTGAGATGCAGGGGATGCTGGACAGCTAGAGACGGTGCTCTTACAAGGGTAAAAACTATTTCATTGTGGTTTTCCTTTGCATTTCCCTGATTACTAATGACTTTGATAGTATTTTGTATGTTTATTGGCTTTTTACTTTTCACTTTGTGAAATGCTTGCTCATGTCTCTGGCCATTTTTTATATTACATTTGTTATTATTGACCGGTAGAATTTCTTTATATGCTTTGGACACAGATCCTTTGTGGTTATATGTGTATAAGGTACAGTTTTATTACATTCTTGACTTTTTTTCACACATGAATAATGCCAATGTCAGCCTCAAAGCTGCGTGAAGGAGAGCATGGGGTGAGATAGTCTCCATTTTCTTTCTCTCTCTCTTCCTTCCTCCCCTTGTCCCTTCCTCCCTTTCTCTCTCTCTTTCTTTCTCTTTGTCTCCATCTTTAACTTAGTTTCCTTTGTCTACTTTTTCTTCTTCCCTTTCCTCTTCCTCCTCCTCATTCTCTTATTATTATTCATCTATTTTTTCCCCTCCTTGTTCTAATTAAACCCAACTCCTAGACAGGCAAGTTGCGTCTAACGAGGTAGATTTTTTTTTCTGACTCACGCACTAAACATGTTGCTCTTTGAGGTCCTGGCTTTGAGCTGGGATGAAAGGTATTCAGGGATTACAAACTCCTGAGAACGCTTCTCTCTTTGTGCTGGGCCACAGGACGTGACTTTGCAGGCAGTGTCCTGGGGATGGTGTAAAGATGGAGACGAGGGAGATGTGTTGCCTTGTGCTTCTCCGCTATGCCGAGTTAACGTCCTTTTGAGCGTCCACCTTTAAAGTGATATGGTTTGTCTTCTCTTCCCCCAAGGTCTTTGAGGCTATTAAAATAGAGACTCAATACTGGGTCAACACATGCCCGCCGTTGGGGGAAAAGAAGTGTTAGGACTCGCTGACTTTTCTGAGCTCTTGCTCTCACCTGGTTCTTAATCTGTTTATTCCTTACTATTTAATGAACACTTTGATGCCTTTAAAAATATGTGTGTTATATTTAAAATAGCCATAAATTATTTACAGCAGGATGATTGAATTGACATATTTTAGATCATTCAGTTAGTATGAATACGGGCAATGAATCATTTGACTCCTAACTACTGGTCATGAATTATGAGTTGAGTTTTGTTTTTCCCTAGTATCCCAGATCCAGTATGTGGAAACAGGTCATTCTTCTTGCAAGAAGGGATTTTTCTCCATACTATGCTTTCACTGAGGTGTGGTCCTACAGGTTCCCATCTTTATACAGGAGTCTCCATGGCTTTGTCTCCCTACCCTGTGCAGCTACAGATGCTGACACTCTCAGTGGTCAGGGCTTAGTAGATGTCCTTTGGGCAACCTTCAGCTTGAGTGTCATTTATCTGTTGGGCTTTTGCTTGGTTTCCAGTTCTTTTCTGTTTTGGTGTGTTTGTGTGTTTGTTTACTTGTTTGGCTTCTCCAGAATATTCATTACTTTCTTGCCATTTCAGCCACGCATTGTAAAACATGTTTTTAATATTTTATCTTGCATCTGTAGGTGTTTTGTGAAAGACTTTTTTAGTAAACCTAACCCACAGTATTTTCAAAAATTGAAGTCTATGCTTTCTCTTTAATTATGGCTTTTTTATTGCATGTAAATTTAAAATTTTATAATGTAGTCAAATTTATCAATAGTTTCACTGATGGTCTGGGCTTTTTAGTCTTATTTAGAAAAATCCTCCAGAGGTGATAAAGCCATTCTTCCATCTGGAACTGATCTCTGTGCACTGTGGTAGTCCTTATCACTCTTCAGCAAATAGTTCTTCCCCTTGGGCCATCTTAGGATTGCATGTCCTGATTCGCCTGTTGGACCATAAGACCTATTCTGGCCAAAGAATCATGGGTGGAAGTGTAGTGTGTCGCTTCTGAGACAGAGAATTGAATTGCCAACTGAGACCTTCCTGGGCTCTCTTTCCCTCTGCCATGATAACTAGCAATATTCCAAATGGTGGCTGCTCCGTCAGCCTGAGATCCCAAATCTGAGTGTGCATCATGGAGCATAGCCTCTAGTCAGACCAAAATGGCTATGTAGCATGAGCAAGAATAAACTTTTTCTGTTTTAACATACTGAAATTTTGATGTTGTTTATTACAGGACTATAATTCAACTCACCCTGACTAACTTAAAAAATAGAGGAGTAACAAAAAGTAAAAAATCAGAGGTACTTGCTTAGAGGGTGAGTGGGAAGAAAACCATTGTTAAAGGCAAGAAGAATGAAAATTCATTTCATGCAGTGGCAAAACCATTACTATTCTTGTCACTTGCAATAACTTGGAAGGCAGATCATGTACTTAATGAACATATACCCATAAGCGAAGGAATTGTAAAGCAAAATATATAGCATGAGTTGGCTACTATTGGCTGCATTGAGTGAATTATACATGAAAAATAAATAAGCTCACAAAAGACTTGGTTGGTTTATAAATAGGAAAAAAAGACTGTCCAATGGAGCCGAAAGAGAGAGTCCAGAAATTTGGGGACTTGAAAGGCTTGTAGAGGCTACTGGTTCCCAAACCCTGTCAATAAAACATAAATTTTAAAAGGTGTTTGAATGATAAAGATCATTTCAGACTCGGTTCTGTGCAAGGATCAAATCCCAGGCACAGCCCTTACCTTCCTCGTTAACACAACTGAATGAAACAAGCCACGTCAGAGCAAGACCCAGATAAGAATATGGCACTCAATCAATCTTTTTAACTGGACAAGATGGCTTGGTAAAAAGAGTTAAAACATGTGACTGATATACACGCGGTATGCTCTTCCAGTGAGCCAGTGCTACATAGCAAACCATCCCAAATTTAGTGACATAAAGCAACATCCATTTTGTTATGCTCGTGGATTCTGTACACAAAGAACTTGGACAAGGCAAGTAGGGATGGCTTCACTCTGTTCCATGATGTGGGGTCTCAGATGGCATGAGATGAATGGATGGAGTCTAGAATCATCTAGAGCTTAATCACTCACATATCTAGCACCTCAGCTGCGATTTCTCAAAGGCTGGGGACAGCTGGGACTGTCAACCAGAGCTTCTACTACGTGCGGCTTCTTCATGTCACTAGGACTTCCTCACAGCACGGTAGCCTCAGGTAGTTGGACTTCTTACGTGATGGCTTAGCTCTCCAAGACTGAGTGTTCTAGTAAACAATGCATAAGCTACGTGGCTTTTACAACGCAGCCTCAGAAGTCATGTAGCATCACTTCCTCTGCTTTTGGTCAAAGCAATCTCCAGTCCACCTGATTCAAAGGGAAGGCGACAGAGATTCCAACTCTTAATGAAACGAGTGTTTAAGAACTTGTAGCCACATTTTGATTTTTTTTTAAAGATTGGCATCTGAGCTAACATCTGTTGCCAATCTTCTTCTTTTTTTTTTCTTTCTTCTTCCCAAAGCCCCCCAGCACATAGCTGTATATTCTAGTTGTAGGTCCTTCTGGCTCTGTTATGTGGGACGCTGCCTCAGCATAGCTTGATGAGTGGTGCCATGTCCACGCCCAGGGCCAAACCTGTAGCCACATTTTAAAACCAACACATACTCACAATGAGGTCAAAAGAGAGAGAGAAAGAACAGAATAAGAGCAAAAGAGTAAAGAAATACAACCATCTTCCTTTTAACTAGCAGGAATCCATTCTTGAAAATCAGAAATTCTACATGTAAATGCAAAACTGGGAGCTTACTTCCTATTATATAAATGGGGAAAATTATAATACATTAAATGCCAGTACTCAATTCTCAACCAATTTCCTAAAAACAGAACCAAAATAAAGAAAACGTCTTCATGTAAGTTCTAAACTATCACGTCAGGATGTAAAATGTTTAAAACATCACTTCCTAGTGATCAATTTAAAAGATTGTTGCCAATTACTCTGCACACACTGAGAAGCCACACATCCCTGCAGACCGTCAGCACACGTCCGGAAACATCTGCGTGTGTTTCTGCCATTATACAGACTGTAAGCTGAATGTCATGCAAGACTTTTCACCCACATCATTTTTTTTAAATGTTCAATTGCATTTGGGTGATATAAATATGAATTTTTGCTTATGAACATTGTCCAAGTAAACAATTGAAATTATATGTATGTTTTAATTGTGAATATTAAGAACCAAAATGCATTTTATTAAAAAACAAATAGGGTTTCAGAATTACTACAGACAAGCGCCTACTGAAGGTCTCCCTTTCTTCCCCTTTCTAGTGGCTGTTCTGTTCCTGTCCTGTCGCTGCACATTGACTGTGCAGGACAGTGCTTAGCAAACTTTTATCAGAATCACCTGGGGATTAAGCATCGGTTCCTAGGATCACCTCCAGCATTTCTGATTTAGTAGGTCTGAAACGGGGTCTGAAAATTACATTTCAAATATTTGATGCCGCTGGTCCAGTTTGAGTAATTCCTCTATAGAGGACAAGAAACATGTTTTTTTAGTTCATAGGTCTCCAGAAAAAGAGAAGCCACATTCCAATCCAAGGTAGAGATCCCCCACACATCACAGTGTGGAGATGCTGGACTCAGAGCTGAATGCCGTTATTAAATGGAATTTCCTGTTCCTCTCGTTTGGGGAGGGGATAACTTTATTTTGCTTCAGGAGGAAAAGTGAGCCAAATATTTCAACAAATACAGTGTAGATCCAGCTTCTCTCTTCAAGGCACATGTGATATTGCATATTCTGATTCCCTTGTGGATGAGGCCCTGCTAGTTCTGGCTCATATGACTAGTCCTGGCCAATGAATTGTTAGTGGAAGTGAAGATGTCAGTTTTTGGTTGGGGCATTTAATTACCAATGCAAGACCCTTTCTACCTCTCTTTTCCTTGTCGCAGCAGCCAGCTATGTGCTAACAGTGGCTGCTTTGTCAGCCTGGGCAATAGACTGAAGTTGATGAAGAAAAGAGTCCCAGGCAACACAAGATGGGAACGTAGTGTGATCATCACTTATACCTTTGTTATTTTAGGTCACATATTGTATCCCAATCTTACTGATATATACATATATGGCCTAAGGTGGGAATTAATTTATTTTTCAAATAACTAACCAATTGTCTCACCATCACTTATTGAATAGCCCTTTCCTCATTCCATTAATAGTCTTTAAGATATAATATTTCATAGCATGCATGTAACCACTGGAACCTAAAACTTGTCCTTTTGACTAACAAAAAACTAAATTTATGCCACAATATCTCCTATGTAGACGTAAAGATATTCCCAAGGTTAGTGATGAAAGAAGATAACAGGTGCTAGAAATTATGCTTTCTGTAAGCAGTGTACAGAAAGATAAACGAGCAACCTCCAGAGGGCGCTATTCTCAAAACACAGCCCCACCTGGAACCAGTGAGCGAGAGAGCCGACTGACTGATAATGAGATGTC